GGTAAATAAACCAAGAATCTTCTATAGGTAAGCACAATCAAGAGTCTGCCATAGCAAAGCCAAGAATCTGCTATAGGTAAACAGAGTCAAGAGTCTGCCATAGGTAAATAGAACCAAGAATCTGCCATAGGTAAGCAGAATCAAGTCTGCCATAGGTAAGTAAAGTCAAGAGTCTGCCATAGGTAAATAAGCCAAAAGTCTGCCATAGGTAAATAGTTCGACGAAGCTATGGAAGTGCCGAGAGTGCCGTGGACACTAAGGGTGGAACAAGGCCACGGAAGGAATTACGTGCCGTGGCCACTAAGACTGGAACAACACCACGGAAGTCCTGCCGTGCTGCAGGAATCGATGCACGTGTCCTTAAATATGCAAAGCCTTTCTTGCGTAGCCGGAGGTGGTCGCTAGCTGCTCTAGTCATCCTCTTCACCTCTCTTGTTGACTTTTATTGCACTCAAGTCATCTACTTTACCTCTATTCTCGTTTACTTTTTAATAGTATTAAAGTCGTCTACTTTACTCTCATACTCAATGTCATCCAGACCGTCAATTTCTGCCTTGTGGCTACCCTTTAAACAGACAAAGATCAATCATTTCACATCAGCCACAAGAATTATTAGATCACGTGTGGCATATAAATACCCCAGAAATATTTTAATCAATGTCATGATGTTGTTAAATAGACGTTCTAAAGTCACAATGAACAACGGCAAAATAAAGAAAATAGACACAGAAATCACGATAGCGTGATATATCAAATGATACATCCCAGACTAAGGCGCGTCTGGGATCATCCTGGGCGTAGGTTCGAACCCTCATCACAGCCCTTGTGGATTTGATTAAAAAAAATAGATTTAAGACCAAAGTGCTCTATTACCTTACCACAAGTACTAACATGGACGCACCAATTAAAACATTTTGGCAAAGAGGCCGCTAATCACGCGGGATGAGGAGCCCAGTATTCTTTATGGTAACATTGATGGAGTTCACACACGTATGACTGTGAACAAAATCGCTAGTTAAATACAGCAGCCGTAGCCGCCATGAGAGCCGTGAACTGCTTCTTCATAAGGCAAGATATTATACCTAGCATCCATGCACCCCCCCCGCCCCCCCCCCCCCCCCCCCCGCCCACACACACACAACGTCACGGTCTCTGTTGTTACCTTGTTACATTTATGACGTGTTGGAAAGTTGTTACAACTTGTTGGAAAGTTGTTACAACTTGTTGGAAAGTTGTTTTAACTTGTTAGAAAGTTGTTATAACGTGTTGGAAAGTTGTTATAACTTGTTGGAAAGTTGTTATAACTTGTTAGAAAGTTGTTATAACTTTTACAACTTGTTCGAACGTTGTAACAACGTGGTAGTTTCGTCGTGTGTGTGGCGGGATAAGGCCTGGTATAAGATGATTCCGTCTATTTAATCAACAATACATAACCCAGCCCCCACACTTGTATGAAAGTGACGATGTTTCGGTCCGTCTGGACCCTTCTCAAGTCGATTATTCATGAGGGTTCAGGACGGACCGAAACGTCGTCGTCTCTTCATCTTCTGGTGTGGTGTTCGGTCATGTTATTGTGACTCATTGTTTGCGTAAATAAGGAATACCCAAACGCTCTGCCACACTCGGTATCCAAGAGTTCGTCTGTAGAAGAAACAATCACATGAAAAGCTGAGGTGTGGTCGAGGGCGCGCAGCTCTAGTCCTCGGGGGAGTCCAACATTCACCCACCAAAACAAAATAAACAGAGAGTGGAACGCTCAATCTCTTAGCTGCCGAGAATAGATAGCGAGGAGCATCGTAGCCAGACACGTGTCTCAGGGGCCTCAACGGTAGGCTTGGTGTGAGTGGTATAGGCTGGGAGGTTGATCCTTCTACTAGAGGTGGTATGGGGAGGTTGATCCTCCTACCAGAGGTGGTATCGGGAGGTTGATCCTCCTACCAGAGGTGGTATGGGGAGGTTGACCCTCCTATAAGCGCATGACCCAGTGTGACTCACCAGATAGTGTCACATTCACCACAGACGTTCTCAAGATGTGCCCCACCATAAAGATGTAATTGTTTCGAGTAATCAGAGACGAACAAACCCAATAAACCCACCTAACCTATCGAGGAAATTCATAAAGTCAATATGTCATTCTTTACTCTCTAGAGAATGCATATTACGTTTTTTTTTATTCTCTCAATATGGAAGGTTTTCAGTTCCAGGGATTAACTTTGCCATCCTTTCCAGTACAGATTCTAGTGAATTTATGTCAATTCTATAGTACGGACTAACACCAAAGAGAATAAGCAGATAGTAAGTCACAATAACTTGGCTTAATGTTAAGGCACCAATGCACAAATCTGAAAATATGGAAAGTGATGACGTTTCTGTCCGTCCTGAACCATTATCAAGTTGTATAAGGGGAAAAAAGTGATTGATTGATTGATGAAGATTAAGCCCCCAAAGAGGTGGCACAGAAATAGCCCGTAAGTGGTAGATTTTTTGAGTGAATCTGAGACAAAAAATAAGTGGTAGAGAAATAAATTCATAAGGTAAGAGAGTGAGGAGAAAGATGAGAAGACTGAAGTATAGGAATAGTGTTGAAGCAAACGGAATGAAGAAAAACTGCAGAAGACCAAATGCCAAAGACAACGAGGTGAAATAGAGACAACAGAGAGAGCTACATAAGAGAAAGAAAGAGGAGAGAACGTCGAGGGAAAAACCTAAGTAATATCACTTTTGCTAATGTTAGAGCATTTAACTACGTACAGAGGAAGACCAGAGTCCACCGCAACAGAGCCGGGACTAAGGTTCGTGTTGGCAGAGTTGTGAATCACAGCCGATTCGGCAAGAAGGTGTCTGTGAAGGGTTGAGGCAGGAAAGATTATTTTAGAAGACCATTTTATAGGAAATACAGTAGACTCCAGCAGCACTGGAGTCAGGAGCAGCAGCAGTGTGAACCAGATTACTACAAACTGTGTCGGTTTATCGAATGTCGAGTTTTATATAAAGAGAGCGCAGGGTATTAGTGAAATTTTTAGTTCAAACATGAAGGGAAGGCAAAGCACAGTGTTACTAGTGCTGGAAAACAGGTTTATGACGAAAAAGTTATTTTAGCTTGAGAATAGGCGCAGTTGATAAAAATTTAAATGATAACCAAGGCGAGGGTTAAGAAGAGTTAATTGGTTAAGAAGAGAATTTTCAGAATCAAGAAACTAAGGATCACTATTGCGTAGGGCCAAGAGGAAGAGGAGACGGGAACATTTTCTTAACTAGGACAAAATAAATTTCAAGAATAATGATTCAATGTCTCTTAATTATATACTTCTGAACTCATTCTCAGCAAATTCATTATGAAGCCACACCAGCTTATTCCATTAAAATAATTTTGCCAGTTGCATCAGCCTCCATTCACTCCAGCATTCTCCATTTATGGCGTTCTCCAGCATAAGATAAACAGTCAACCTTCAGGCGACATCTCAAGAAAATACTAAGGTTTTCTCACAAATTTATCATACAACTTTAGATTTATATATATATATATATATATATATATATATATATATATATATATATATATATATTATATATATATATATATATATATAATATATATACATCGACAGATATAACAGAAGACTGGTCATCAGCGAGGCACTACATATCAAAAAGTCAAGAGCAGCAATCAACAACCAGTTAACACATAATTATATTCTACCCACTTCAAGACCCCGAGCCAACACAGAGACAGCAGAAGCAAGAACATAAGCTGCTTATGTTCATGAAATTAATAGCCTATTAATATCCATTATGTTTCATACACTTGTTCATCTCAATCACGTCATGTACCAAGCGAATGTTAGCTTGAGGGATGCTGAGGGAGGTGTAGAGCGAACACGATGCTGAGGGAGGTGTGGAGCGAACACGATGCTGAGGGAGGTGTAGAGCGAACACGATGCTGAGGAAGGTGTGGAGTGAACAAGATGCTGAGGGAGGTGTAGAGCGAACAAGATGCTGAGGAAGGTGTGGAGTGAACAAGATGCTGATGGAGGTGTGGAGCGAACAAGATGCTGAGGGAGGTGTGGAGTGAACAAGATGCTGAGGGAGGTGTAGAGCGAACACGATGCTGAGGAAGGTGTGGAGTGAACAAGATGCTGAGGGAGGTGTAGAGCGAACAAGATGCTGAGGAAGGTGTGGAGTGAACAAGATGCTGATGGAGGTGTGGAGCGAACAAGATGCTGAGGGAGGTGTGGAGCGAACAAGATGCTGAGGGAGGTGTGGAGTGAACAAGATGCTGAGGAAGGTGTGGAGTTAACAAAATGCTGAGGAAGGTGTGGAGTTAACAAAATGCTGAGGAAGGTGTGGAGCGAACAAGATGCTGAGGGAGGTGTGGAGCGAACAAGATGCTGAGGGAGGTGTGGAGTGAACAAGATGCTGAGGAAGGTGTGGAGTTAACAAAATGCTGAGGAAGGTGTGGAGCGAACAAGATGCTGAGGGAGGTGTGGAGCGAACAAGATGCTGAGGAAGGTGTGGAGCGAACAAGATGCTGAGGGAGGTGTGTAGCGAACAAGATGCTGAGGGAGGTGTGGAGCGAACAATATGCTGAGGGAGGTGTGTAGCGAACAAGATGCTGAGGGAGGTGTGGAGTGAACAAGATGCTGAGGGAGGTGTGTAGCGAACAAGATGCTGAGGGAGGTGTGGAGCGAACAATATGCTGAGGGAGGTGTGGAGCGAACAAGATGCTGAGGGAGGTGTGGAGTGAACAAGATGCTGAGGGAGGTGTGTAGCGAACAAGATGCTGAGGGAGGTGTGGAGCGAACAAGATGCTGAGGGAGGTGTGTAGCGAACAAGATGCTGAGGGAGGTGTGTAGCGAACAATATGCTGAGGAAGATGTGGAGTGAACACGATGCTGAGGGAGATGAGAGAGCACAAGATGCTGAGGCAGGTGTGGAACGAACAAAATGATGAAGCAGCTGTGGAGAGAGCACCAGACGCTGTAGGAAGTGTCATGACATACCTGTTATTGAGAGAAGGAAGAGGAAGAACACCACTCCGCCCCACAGCCTCATGTCGCTGCTCCTGGGAACTCGCACCTCACAACACCAGTCCAACAAAACCAGGTATATACCACTACTTATCATACTTCAATATTGACTGGCTCTATTTCTCAATATTTCTGCTTAATAAGTTGTAAAGTTCACTTCAAAATGCCTTATCAGCAGCAAACTTCAAGAACAAATAGCTTAAGAACACACGGGTGTTGTTCTCATCTAAGTTCTGAACACAGAAAACTTGGAAAGGCATTTATAATCTGCTGCAAGTTATTCATGAGGTTCTCTATTCATTTTGTGCCATCATTAATTTGAAGGTATTTCCATTATAACGCAGCTTGTGTTGATGAGGATAGACCATTGTTCATTGTTAAACTATCTCATATATTTTACCGCACCACAGAAACAATGACGATAATATAAAACGTTAATAAAATAAATGTAATAACAAATAATATTGACAACATTACACAATATTAGAAATAATAAAGATAATAGTAGCTATAATAATAAAACAGCTAATATGGAGTAGAACAAATTAGATTCCTAATATAACAATTATGTATAATGATACTCTATAGCAAACTCCTTCAATTTATCTTAATTTAAAACACTAGATAACTAAAAAATATCATGTACAGGTGATGGCACAATTCAAAGATGAAACAGCCGCGCAGAACAGTTCTGTAAAGACGAGCCGGAGCGGGTCCAGCACGTGCATCCACCACGGAGGCTGGTCACACACTAGGCTCTCTCCACCCACAACCCGCCAACCTCACTCACTCCCTCACTCGACAATTTATCTTGGGTCGTTCGTGTGGTAGAATGAACTACCATAATATTCATAAACAATGTAAGCGTCAATGCTAGACATAAAGTTCGTATTCATATGGATATACTATTGTAAGTTTGTCATTATTGTTGTATGAAAAAAGCATCTGAAATATTTTTAGTCTCTCCCACTGATAAAGTATTGCAATCCTTCCTCAATCATGGTAAACAGTTTACGAGGTTCGAAGCTTCGCAACCTAAGGTTATTTTTGTTACAGTAACCGGTCCTCAACGACAGAGGCCAAATGCTCGTTAATCCAGCCACCAAACCCTTCCTTGTTTATGAATGAAGAACCGTTTACACACGACTCACAACTGATAACGTTCGAACAGTGCTTCGCTAACTGCCTCTGTTCGAAAAGCAACGCTGTAAACAGCCTGTCTTCCAAAGACCCAAAGTGATTCCATGCACCCGCCAAAACACCTGGTTATGAACGAAAAACGGTTTACACACGACTCACTATCCTGATTTCGTTCGAACACTTCCGGAATAAGTGCTTCACTGACGAATTTTGTTCGAACCACAACGCTGTAATTGTTTCACCCATGTACTACAAATACAAATAATCGGCAACAGAACCTAAATGCCTAAGCCTAACTATACGCAGAGCTTAAATAGATAATAATATTAATTTATATGAGAACAAACTTAGTTTCAATGCACAATACGTAAAAATTAATTAACGTGTCTAGGGAAAAGGCTGCCACTTTTAGGAACCTGGCCTGAGAACGAGTTCGAGACAACTTCCTAGCGCTCGGAGCTCAAACTATTTCATTAGCATAAACTAAGAAATCATTATTAAAGAAAGATGTACAGGTTTCGTAAATGAACACTTAAGTGCTTGATGACTCCTGGCCTTGGATGGTTTTGTGAATCAATGATAAATTTGGCCATGAACTTGATTTCGTACATCTTTTGTCGTAGCCGTGGAACAACATTTTTAATGTACCATCTTCCAATTGTTTCCCTTCATCAGAAGCTTATACTTAGGTCGATCCGAGAACTAGCATAACACATCTATACCAGACGGCACTAAACGTTACATTCCCACTTAGCCAGCATCCACAGCTGATATTTCCTGCTCTAACGCCTCCAGTCCGTTTTCTGCATGACAAAACCTCATCTTCGTGCCTATCCTGACAAGCTTCCCATCCCTCCCTCGCATCCCTTACCATGACTAGCCAGTCACCCATTTCTTCCCCCCAAGTAGTAACATTAAAGAATATGATAAATATCGTGAGGAGACATTTACATATCGAACTAATAGAGCAAGAACTCGGCAATGTGAAGTTATAGTGGCCAGAATACGCCTAGGATATAGACGTATCTGGCAGCTTTCTCAAAACCCAAATGTCGATTACACAATGTATCAACTTTGTGAAAGAGAAAACATACACTCACTTGAACATTATATTGTAGAATGTCACATATTAACTGATTTTTGCCCTCCTGAGCTGAAGTATGCTGAACTTTGTAAATACTATATGAATACTGGAACACGTGATGATATATTGGACTTGTACCAAAGATTGAGTATGTATTACATCTGTTATACAATGTATTGTACCTATACCAAACGTAATTCATATGTTATACAATATATTGTACCTGTACAATACGTAATACATTTGTTATACAATGTATGTACCTATAACCTAAGCTTGAAAAAGCATATTAATCACCTTCAGTGGTTAAGTGTTTAATATCACACTAGTTTCTATAGAAGCTATCTTACTCTGTCAAAGTAGGAGACACATAGGTGTATGTGTGTATATATAATAATGTGTGTGTGTGTGGATTTGTGTAGGTATATATTTATATGTGTACAGGTATATGAATGTATTTGTATATAGGGTATGTGGAAGCAGTTCAGAATTGCTTTTCTCCTTTGTAAACGCACATTATTGACGCTATGTAAAAAGACACCTCGAACACTGTTTATGTAGGACAGACGTAAATCTGTATATTTATGTTTGTAGGTTAGTTTAGCATTTTTAAAGCACTACAATCACCTGTGGTTGATTGTTCAATAAATCACTGAATTATATGTTTAACAGATATCTAACCCTGTCCACGGAGGATAGAAGAAATGTATATATGCTGGTTACCATTGTAAATGTGTAGAAGAAATGTATATATATGCTGGTTACCATTGTAAATGTGTGGCTACGTTTGTGGTGGGAAAAAAAACTCTTCCCCAGCCTATTCCCACCATGCCAAACCCTTCGGTAATAATAGTCATAATGGTTCCTAAGTTTCATTGACTTGTATACATGAAGCAATATTCTTTCCCATTCACACACCTTTCCGTGCACCTCTGACGTGTTCAGAGGTCCTGTATACATTGTGCATTTAGCTGTTTTGTTTTCTATCAGCAAGTTAGCTAAAGATGAAGTCATTGTTTAAACCCTTTTATTTTAAAAAAAATAATAATAATTAGAATATACGATCACGCTATCCAAAGATACAAATCCAGTCGGGGTCTCTCAATTTCCATTTGCTAAACTGGAGATTTTGGAGAGCCAATGAAAAATAGTTTTGGTTAAGTATATTATACATAAAGTTTTTTCACTCATGTTAAAAGTGTTGTCAGCATTAGGCAAATATTTTAAGGCCAATAAAATGAAATCAGTTTAAAAGCCCCATTACCATTTAAACAAACTTTAATATATTTAACGGCTCGCACCTTTCAACATTGCTGCAAAGCTTTGAAAAATAGAGTAGGAAAAACGTGCAAGTTTAATGTGTACAGAAAAGTTAATGATGTAAGTTATGGGAATTATGCCTCAAAACACCACAAACAGTTTAAACAATCAGTTAAAGAATACGAAAGTGCTCAGGTATTTATTCCTTCATTTACTCTATTGTTCTTTGGATTTGCATATTACATACACACACACACACACATACGTGTTTGTGAAATATATAGTATATATATATAACACAAAAGGAGGGGGGTGGGGTAAAATAAAAGAACATAGAAACAGGATTGGAGGAGACCTAAAAATTCCCGTCTAATGCGTTATGTGGTCTTTTCTCCGAGGCTTATTATTTTCTTATTCCACCCAGAGGTATATTATATACAGTATATATATATATATATATATATATATATATATATATATATGTGTCTCCCATGCCTGAGAACTTTCGAGCCATGCATCGCATACAGCCCAACTACACCTGACTGCAGTTATTGGTGTCCGCTGATAAAGAATTAAGAGAATATTGATTTTCAAAGCTTCACTTGTTAATTTGATTTGACAAAAACCCAATAAACTGTTGAAATATTTGCCAATACCATTTATATACTTTGCAACAAATTTTTCAAGTGCACTTTCAAGGACCTGATGAGTTTGTACAGTAAACAGAAAATGTATTTGTTGCCATGAGGCTAATGGTCAACTTCACTGCGAAACAGAAGCTGGTAAACTGCACAGAACTGTATTGTCTTTCCTACAATATTTGATTGCGAGAAGCATGGTAGAATGTAGTTGAATATTTCAGTGAAGTCTCTAGTGTGATATTTTGCTACTTCTTGGGAATGTAGTATACAGGAATTGATTACAGATAACTTTATGCAAAGGGAGATTGCAAGGGCACAGTTGGTGGAGTGGCTTAGCACTCCATGTTCACCTAGCAATAAATAGATGTCCTGGAGTTAGTTTAGTGATGCGAGTTGCATCCTGCAGAAGGTCAGTGGCTGGCCGATGCTTCCTTCTACTAACAAGAACCAATTGTCCAACGCAGCCATGTTTAACAACCCCCTCTCCCTTGCCCTTGGCTGACTACTAATGGACACGGTACATTTATACGAGAAAGAAATACGCATAAAGAGCTATGTCGCGAGGAACTAAACTCCCAATGTAGATGTTATACCGAAAAGAGAAACGTATTACGTAAAAATGGACTTAATTCTAAATGCTAGTCACTATTTTCAACTTTCTGCTGTCTAACTCGTACTTTTGGAAATACAATATTGTTGGATTTTGTGAAAATTTAATTCAAAGATAAGACTTTTTATTTTGGGTATCTATGATCTTCTATGCAGATTAATTACACATTATCAGCTCACAAATAGTTATTTATGACCAAATATTGAAGTCCCACGAGGAAATGGATGAACTCTGCTGTAATGTTTCAGTCATTTACAACTGTACACTAACAATTTAAATTTTGGGTTAGTTTTTACATGTTCGCGCGTATATACTTGTACTCACCCAGCTGTACTTGCGAGGGTTGAGCTTAGGCTTTTGGGCATCCTAGTCGCATCTCAATCTTCGATCGATGGGTGTTACAGGTTCCAGACTCCCCTGTACAGAGTCTGGCTTCACTACTCTGTAATTCATTTATTTATTTACTACTGTTCATTAAATTACTTCTACATGTGTCTCTCTCCCGTTTCAAATAATCTATTCTTGTCTACCCTGCACTTTCTGCTATTTTTATGTGGTGATTATGTCTTCCCTGATCCACATACGGACCTTCTCCAGCTTCGTTTCGTGTTTAACAAGACATGTACTAAGTAGCGACGCCGCGAATTACAGATTTAATCTGATATATGTGGTATAAAAGGTCCTGAACGACATATAGTCCAGATTTCTACATACCAGTACAGTTTTAATGTTGATCAATCCTAGAGAGAAGCTGATGATATTCATTTCATGTTGGTGGGTTTCTGGTGACAGATTCGGTGTGATATGAACCTTGCGGTTCCCTTACGTTGATTTCGAGGATCAACGTCCCCGCGATCCGGTCTCTGACCAGGCCACCTTGTAACCCCAAGTATTCTCTGAGCAACTCTAGTAAGAGTTGCACAGAGAAAAGTTTCCTGTGCGCCCGGGTGCAACGGGCCAGTATGGTCCAGTGCGCCCGATCTCATCTTCCAGCTCCCAGCTCCACTACTTTCC